ATATGAAAACTGAACCTCCAAGATAAAATCCAACTCATGAAGGAGTGATCTGAACTCAAGGACAAAAATAGACACAAAAGCTTAAAGTACGGGCCGTAGAATATCACCTGCAGCCGTAGATTTTATAGAATAACTTATAAGACATCAGCTACGCGTTGCAATTACATTTGTGTGGTCCGCCAAACAGCCATGTGCGGCCGCACTCAGAAATGTGCGGACCGCAGAAAGAGAGAGATACGGCCGCGGTTCAGAATTGTGCGGCCGCAAGATTCCAATCCTGTCAGGATGAAGCAAAGTGCGGACAAACATGGAATTGTGCGTCAAAGAACCTCCGAAAGGACATTTTTATTTGAAAATTCCAGCTCTGTATAAAGAGAAGAGTTTCACTTTTTTGGGTCAAGTTTTGACATCAGCAGCCACATTAGACGTTTTTCTTTACTCTCTTTAGTAGCTTTTGCTATTTTGAGCTTTTTGAATATTGATTACATCATTTTAATTATTAACATGGGTTTAATTATCATCTCCTCTTCTATTTTTTTTGTTTTAAGCATAAGTAGCTAGATTCTCACACTACCAGAAAATGGGCCTACGGGAACGAATTTACTTGCAACGGTTCATAAACTGTGGCTATAGAGCCCTTATGGCAATGGTTTTAACCGTTCCAATAAGTCATAGGTACATTCGGCACACTTCAGTCATAAAAACGTTGCCCTTGTGTAGAAACCGTTCCCATAGCTTCTTTTTTTGCAACGTTACTTGTAATCGTTCCTATAGACGAATCTATTGCAACGGATCTGGAAAATAAATCAATGGGAACGGTTATTAATCCCTCTTAATTTCCCCCCTAAATTTTCGTGAAACCCGCCAAACCCCCAAATTATTTACATTCTCCTTTTTTTTATCTGTATTTTTTATGTAATTGTACTAGTTATAATTAATTAAAAGTAGAAGATAAAAATATACCTCTCTCTCAAAGCTCACGCCCAGTACAAACCCAAGCTCTCTGCCAAACCTCGTCACCACCGGTGACAGTCCCATGTCGGTGAGAGTCCCTCTGCCAACCTCCGTTAAACGCACCAAATCTCAACAAACAATTTTCAACAGTTGAGCCCTAATTCGCACCATAACAACCAGCTCCTTCAAACAATTCGAACCATCCAATAAGTTTAGGTTTTTTTTCTCGATTAAGCTCGGCTAACATTGCAAGTTCCATAGATCCCTAATTCAAGGTTTTTGCTCGATTCTCATAAATTTCTGATTTATTTCGCATGCTCTTCTTTAACTGATTTTGCAATTTCTCAACAGTTGAGCCCTAATTCACCTATTTCATTCCTCACTGAAGAAGAATTTGCCGCTGGATAGCTGTGGAATGATATAATCGTAAGTTCCTTTACTGGTGGATTAATTGATTTTAATTTTATTTTTGGGGTATTTGAGCGATGTACTGTTATTGATTGGAAATACACAATCTTTGTTGTTCTGTGATCTTTTTTCTGGGGGAATATTGTACTGATAATGGTCGTCCCCTCCACCCTTAACCCATCTGAAGTTTCTGCTTTTTATGCTACTGAATTAGTTTTATCTGTATAATGGTAATTGTTTGTGATCTTGTTTAGTTGGGCTCATCTTGTGGTGGATCTTCTCGTACTGTATAATGGGTGAAAATCTTAGATTTTTAAGCACTATAATTCAAGTGGTTTAAGTATATGAACTGCTGCTATTAGTTATTGTTTGGAGGTTACCTTTTGCTGCAGCAACTGGGTTCACTTCTTATAGGAGCACATTGTCTCCTGAACTTTTGGAGCAAATATTTCGTGGTTGTTTGGGTGCTTCAACTTGCTGTCAATCTTTTTGTTGGACTGCTTCAATTATCTCGTCTCCTGAACATAAAAATAAGCCTAATCAGAATACAACATTGATGGTTTAATGGGAGAGTTCATTAGAGAATTTGTGATCAAATTGTTAATTGGCGGTATTGAATGGTCAGTCACTTTGTAGGTTGGAGAGACTGTCTTGTGATAGTTTTGCAATGATGAGGGGAAGATAAACTATTTAGTAATGCATATTGTCAACTCAACCTTGAATTGATGCTCGCTTTGAGTGTTTCAATTTTATTATTCAAACTTTCTGGACATTCATGTTGAAGTTATTAAATTGGTTGGACGAGAA